AAAAGCTCAGCTTACCCAAGCTTATCCTTCTTGAAATTCCTCCATTGGTCCCATAAATCCCCAACTTGTTTCATAAGAGATCCTATCCACACAACTCTCCTTGTCACTGAGCGCTGTCAGCCTCAGCAATAAGCAAACTCAATGCAACTGGTGACCAGGACAGTCAGACCAGTCCTGGCTTTCACTCCATACAGTGGGATCAATAGCCATCGTGGGCCAGATGTGACGGTGGGCGCAGGGCTAAGGGTAGAAGGGGCAGGGCTGAGGGCAGTCATCCCTTAGCCTAGCCCAGGGGTCTCCAACCTTTTTAACCACAAGATCACTTTTTCAACTGAAGTGCAATGTAAGATCTACCTCAAACCCAAATACCCTTGCCCGGCTTCCTTCCCTCCCCTTCTTTGAGGCCCTGCCCCTCCTCCACCACTCCTCCAAGGCCTCACCCTGCTCACTCCATTCTCCTTCCTCACTCCTTGCACCAGGTGGGGGTTGAGGGTTGGGATGCAGGCTCTGGTTTTGAGCCAAGGAGTTTGGGGTGTGGAAGGGTCTCTGGCTGAGTCTTGGGTGGGGGACTGGGGTCCATGAGGGGTTTCAGGGTACAAGCTATGGGAAGGAGTTTGGGTGCAGTGGGACTCATGTCTGGGGCAGGGGGAGGCTCAGGGCTGGGACCGGGGTTCAGGAAGCAAGCTCTGGATGGGCACTGTTTAATTGAGATCAGATCTGGGTGGGGTTAAGGCAGCTTACTGCTGCCCTGGCCCGGCACCACTCTGGAAAGCAGCTGGTGTGTATAGCAATGGCTCCATGGCCTCTCATCCACAGGCACTGAGCCCACAGCTTCTACTGGCCACATTTTCCCCATACTGATCAATGGGAGCTGCAGGAGTGGTACCTGAAAGCAAGGACAGCATGTGGAGACCCCCTGCTCTGCCCCTCTCCGGGGCTACAGGGACATGCCAGCCACTTCCAGGAGCAACAGTTACCACAGGAATGATTACTCCAGCCATGACAGGTTAGGCATGTTAGAACTCATTCCTCAACGAATGAAATGTAGGCATAAGAGAGAAACGAAAGTTATGAAATGCACAGACCACTCAAAAACCAAAACTGACCCACTTTGCAAGCAGCAGAAGTAACAACCATCCCACATGTGTGTTGGGTCGTGAGATGAGGGAAGGACAGTGTGTGTTTGTGAGGATGACAGACACACACACACACAGGGTGTGAAAGTGACAGAGATTTGCATTGCCAAGCTCCCTCTATCCCCTTCACTATGTGTGGAGATCGGGTACAGGAGTGGGGGGAGGAAGGACACCCTGACATCAGCACCCTCCCCCCCTTTTCCCTCCCATAGCCTGCACAGCAAGCAGGAGGCTCCCAGAGGGGCAGCTGCAAGGGCAGGAACAGCATGACAGTGGGTAAAAAAGCAACTGAAGTGCCAGCGCTTAATAGCTTCCTGGCCAAACCAGTCAGGATCCCCTGTCAGAGGCTCCAGGATCTACCGGTAGATCATGATCTACTGGTTGGTGACCACTGGCCTAGCCAGACCACGGCACCTCGGAGCCATGCCAATTGCCCCTCTGCATCCCCACTATCCATCAGCGGGCCTGACTCCATCCTAAAACTTACATATAAGATTAAGAAACTAATCCAGTGCTGAGGTGGGGCATCAACAATTCATGCTGGATGCTAGTATTGCCCCAGTAATCTTTCTTTGCTTTCTGCTGTATTGAGAACTTAGCCAGAAAAGGATCACATCTCCCCAATATGTGCAAAACTGGAAGCTTCTCTCCTTAATAAGGAACTGTAACTTTATTGACAGCATATAACACAATGGGGACTTGGATATAAATACTTCTGCTCCATCAGCACCAACTTGTTCTAGAGCGAATGCAGCAGAGAGAATCTACAGTCTAATTCACTAAAGAAACAAGAGTTCTTTCTGCTTCCACCAACTGGCTAGGCAGCAACAGATTGTTCAATTAGCATGTTCAATTAGCACGCGGCCTGTTTGTGTGCGGCCCATGGCGTGGTTTGGGTTTACAGCGGGCTCAACACGCAGCCTATGGGTGGGTGAGATCCTTTGAACATGGCCTCCACTGGGAACATGCTCCACAATGGTGAGGTGTCTCCCAGGCAGGGAGAGCAGTGAAAGACACAAGTGGGCGGGCTGGCTGGAACAGATGGGTACAGTAAGCGTGCATTTCTAGTCCCCAGCAAGGAGGCGTTGGGAGCACGAAGACATTGTGTGAAAGATATTTGCATATACATTTGCATGTATATGCAACCACTGCTAAATTGCAACGCTTGGCTGAAAGTATCATTGTGGCCCTTGGGGCTTCCAAAGTTGAAAAGCCCTGCATTAGCCAGTCATCATAATTATGAACCAATAGAATCAGGTAATCTAAAAAGGCAAGTCCTTATGAGACAAATACAAGAACATTTAGAGCAGTTAAAATGGATAAAATAAGCTATTTAATGTCTGTCCCCTTTCTTATCATATCACCTTCTACAGTTCCAATTTCAGATAGCTTCGTTCTTCAGATTACTTCTCAGATGACCAAGTATAGTTTAGCAACTTTTGCCTTGAAGTATGAAACAAGTTATATCAGTGATTTCAGTGAACAAACCTGAATACAACTTCAATCACCTCATGCTTTCTCATTAAAAGTCTGTGGATGAGGTTTTATCTTTTGCCAGCAGTACGACAGAAGGACAGCATCCTAATACAGCTGGTCCCCGAGTTGCAATGGTTGACTTACAACCGTTCGCAGTTACAACTGTAACTGTAGTAAACGGCGGACCCCGAGTTATGAATGTGATCCGCTCTTACAAACAGCATGGTCGCATGTAACTCTGTGGGGGTCCGACTTACGAACCAACCAAGTTATGACCAATTGCTTGGTCCGTAACTGGTTCGTAAGTCAGAGAGAGGCTGTATTCATTTTGCATTTGAGGATGGAAGGGTTTAAGTGTCTTGACCTGTAAGTCCCATATTCTACATACCTCAGTTCTAAAATAATCAAAATAAACTGAAGAAATCAGTTAGGAATCAGAACTAATATCGAGAGATGTTAGAAATCCAAGTGCTCTTCAGCTGCTTTCTGATCGAGAAACCACTCCATCAGATGAGATTTAGGGGATGTAATCAAAGAGGCAGAAATGAGAGTTTAATCTTTTGTTTGTCAAGGTATTTAATATCTCTCTACCAGATAAACTGTTGTTATAAGCAAATCTTCTTACTGTTTTACAACATATACTTACAGAGATTAAATTGTTTTTTTAACAACAATTCACCATGATCTAAAGTAGATGGTGCAAGAAGAACTCTGATCTGCAGAAAGCTATCTGGACATAAAGAGCTGCCTTAATTTTCAACTGCTAAACTGCATTTAATGTGTCTATTGATATTTATAGCCACCTTTCTAGCATTATTTTTCCATGTAACCAATTGCTGCAGTTTCCACCAGGATATTATTCTGTCATGGATGTGGAGGGGTTTTCACCAGAGAATCACAAATGGGAAGAGAGATGTCTATTGAGATGTGATCCATGCCACAAAAAAGTTTGAGTATTCATTTTAAAACTATGAACAACGAAATCAGGTCTACCAGCCTGAAGACCTTCTGACCCTTTACTTGAAAGACATCTCCAGGAGCAGGAAAGGTTCATTAAAAAGTTCCCATTCATGGACTATCATGAAAATCTGTATAATTTACTCAAAATCAGAGGCACTGAAAAAAGATCCTCCAAGAATGTAGGAGGAAAGAATTGTGTCACTTGTTTATTTAAGCAGAAATCTCACTTTAACTATTAACACTGAGGCTACCACTTCACCATTTCTGGCCAGACCAGCACAAACACCATCTGCTGGTGCAAGACAGGGAAACAACTCAATACATCCCACTTCCTCACACAGTAGACTCTTTCCATCACTGTTAGAAACTAGTCATCTCCACTAGCTCACAAGGATTTAAAGTGGCTTGTGCCACTGCCTACTGGGATAGTTATTACTTGGTATCCAGGAGTATAAAGGTGCTCTTGGTTAGACCTGTTAGTTATAAAAATCCTGTTTTGTAAATAGACAAAAAAAACCCCACAACATTATTACAATGTAAGTGAACAACTCCAGCATCTGTACAGACTCTCCATTAGCTTGCCACATATTTTACAAAGGTTTGCCAAGTGCTGTCTAACATTTTACTTGTATGACTCAGGAATGAATCAAACTGCTAGCAAATTTCACCAGGATCCTGGCTTTGGCAGTAAGTATATCAGCTGGAACTTGACCCATAGTTCATATTCTTACCATCCATGAGGAGCCAGTGGCCAGTTAGGACCCAGATAAGGACAAGCATAACAGACAGGGAGAATGAGAGCAGCTCAGCAGCAGTGAAACGTCCACAACAGCCAAAGGAAATCCTGCAAACAACACACCATGTTAGTTGAAAGATTTAATGCTTTGCATTTAAAGCCCAGAAAAACCTCTGGCTCTGTTTGGACAAGGCTCATGTGTAGTATAATACTCATGAAAGATACCAGAATTAAAAAGTAAGTTCTCTTTGCCATAAAAAGGTACCAAAGGCAGCAACAATAAAGGCACATTTAAATAGCTAAATGATGAAGTGGAGAGATGAAAGTGTTATTCTATGTCAGTAAAAGTTTATTTAATTTAAAGCAGTTTAAATCACCTATTTAAATTATGATTTAAATAAGCAATCAGGAAACCTTGATTTAAATAATCGTTTTAATCATGTTTTACATTTGCATATAGTATTTTCTCAAAGAAAGTTTATTCTCATTGGTTAGTAAATATTAAAACATGTTGATCTGCAACTAAATATAACCTTTACACTGAATTTGGTGCTTCATTTTCAAGTAGATAGATAAATGTGTGTGGACAGTGTAAGCAATTATAACATTTAATGTACATTTATTCAGATGATAAATTTTACTTTTTGTGTGTTAGAAATTGGTAACAATACATTTTATATTTACTAGATTTACTTTTTACTTATTACTTATTAGTATCTACTTGGACAGAAATTAGAATTTACTTAAAATACATGAAGAAAATATTCTCTCTGCACATGCAGAACAAAAGAAGATTTATTTTCAGTGTCAAAAGCAGGCTTAGCACCTCCAACCAATGCTTGCTCCAGTTGCTTGTCCAGTGACTACCACCAAGTCAGGCATCTAACTTACTGTTTATTTTAAAAAACAAATTTACGATACTAAATTAAAATATTTTAAAACCGGGCCTTAACATAGGTTGTCAATTTCAAGAGAGGCCTATTTTTAAAAAATAAACTGATTTAAATAATAAAAGTCAGCAATTCATATCCATCCTGGTCTATGTCCATTTAATTATTCGCTCTTTCACGAGACTCACAGGAGATCTGACCGTCAACTCAATATGATGCTCAATATGGTGGTTTTGCAGTGTGGATACTGTCCACATGGCCTGCAACTCATTTTAAACAGGACAATAAACAGCTGTCACTCACGCTGAAGTACCTATTACATGGTCACCAAAGTCTCTGAAACACCTAGACTTAATTACCATTACGCAACCGTACTAGCTTTATATGAAAGTCTAACACCAGCTCCTAAAAACAAAGTGAAATCTCATCCAAAGCAAGCCAAACTTCGAAAAGACACTGAAGAACACTAATCTCTTGCAATGGTATCACATTCCCTACGCTGGCAAGCGTGTATGACAAGCAGAAATTGTGCTTCCTAGATTTAAAGTGGGAACACAGTTTTGGCAAAGAGCACCAGAACTATGCAAACAATTAGCACTGAAGCCCTGGGGGTTAGTAGCAGTAGCAGAAACTCCAGATTAAAAAAAAAAATCTCATTGAGGAGAAATAAATGCAACATACAAAAGATTTATCAAGTCCTTACTTGTTTTGAGGAGAACAAGGTCGTGTTAAATACTGGCACATTGGGAGCAGAAGGAAAGCAAAGGCTATTGTTGCAAGGACTAGAAAAAGAGAAAATGTAACATTAGTACATTCAGATCCATTTTCTACTGTGTGCACACAGCTCCCAGTTTGAGGAAGCTTTGTGACAATATCTTAGTATAACATAATATAGCATTATTAAAAGGGAAAACAGATTAAAGCTAAGATTTTTTTGCAGGACTTCTATAAATAAAATGTAAATAAATTTACACTTACATTTATTGTCAACTAAAATTATACAATTAAAAAGAATTTCAGAGAAAAATATACAGATTGAATTTTTTTCAACAATCTTCATATAACTTGTGGGTTTGATCAAAGAGACAAAATATTGTGTCCAATTACTCCAGGCAGTCAATCAAAAGAAAAAAAGATACATCACAATCTGGTTATGAAACATTTCCAAAATACTGCATCATATCAAGAGGAACTACTCTAAAGCCCCCATCCTCCTAACATGGAAACACATGACCTTCCCTAGTCCGGCAAAATCCCTCATCCAGAAACAGTTAGATCCTGAGGGTGCCAGACCGGGAGGTCCAACCTGTACAATTTAAAACAAGAATTAGAATTCAAAAACATATATCAAATGTTATAGTAATCTGTAATTGTATTTTAATCCATATGTTTTGTAATTTACCATATATAATCCACATGTTTATGTATGTTTCCAACAAACCCACATTTTCTATTTTATCAGCAGAGCTACCAAAGTTTAGCTATTGATATGTCTATATTTGTAATACATTCATTTTTCTCCCAACATAACACTCTCTTTTAGCACAACAAAATCTAATTCAGGATCAAATATCTCAAATAAAAATATGATTCTATAGCTACAAAGTCACACACAATTACATTATGATGTTTTAATAAATGAGGGAATAGGATGCGTAAAGAATGATGCGTCAAATACCACTTATGCAGATTTTAAAACTGCTGTGTCAAAAGAGGATTGCAACAGCAATGGGAAGAATCTCTTCACCTTACAGCATAAGTCTGCTATCCATTAAAGTGATGGGTATGTCCTATATTTCCCTTCTTTAAGCACCTTTTGGGACATACACATCTTAATTGGAAGAAGAAAATTAACAAAAAGATTCTCTCACGCACACATCAAATCAATACAGTAATGTTTGAAAAAAACAACTAAAGGAGGTCCTGTTGCAACTTCCTACATGTTAAGTTTCACTTAATTTTGCAGCTATTGCCATATAATTCAATGTAATATTACAATTGTAAAATTATTTAGAGTGGAGACTACTTAATAATACCCATCAAAAAGCGCTAATTTGTAGCAGTGGGCTCACAGAAAGCAGTTTTGGGGAAAGAAAGATCTAAATTTCTCCACCCTAATCAAGATCTCCATGTTGATACACAGTCTTAGTAGCAAACTCTGCAACATAAGGAACAGCATCCTCCATATGGCAAGACCAATTAATAGGACAATAACCCCATCACAAAAGTAAATGGCTTCAGAGAAATTATCCCAATACCACTAGGTTGATTTAGCAAGAAGAAAACAGAAGGATCTGTCACCAGCCTTGCCTTGCACTCCTAAACATGATAAAGCCTACCTATACATTAAAGATGATGACAAATTCTGCAAATAAAGTGACAAATGTCAAAAAAAATCGGAAGTTGAAAAAGGATTAACATGCTGCAATAAAATTACACAAAAAAAGAGAGCAGTAACTTACTACAAGCAGAGCTAACAAGAACTGACAACTAAGAAAAAGGGTTTATGATCAAGTGCCATTTAAAAAGTTACCTAATACTGTAAAAACAGTTTTAACTGATCAGGTCACAGAAGGATTTTTTTTCCAACTTCCCTCTCTAGAGAATCAGGTAGAAGAGAATAACTTTTATGGTGTGTAGAATATTCATGGCTCTACCACATGGGAGCAACATGAAGCACCTTCTTAGTGATATCATGATCAGCAAACAATATACTGAAAGAACTTCACAAGTAGGACCAAAAGGCCATTATGAATTTCTTCCTGCAGTCAGAGTGTTGACAATTGCTGCATGCAAAAATTTAAGCTAAAGCAAGAGCAGACTAAAGGGTGAAAATGTGAAGAGGTGGCACCGCTACAGTACTTACAATTTTTAAATTTTATTTTCTATGATTACCAAGTAAAATTTTTATACACATTTTTTCAAATTGTACAAAAATCAAATTCATAGAAATGTGTCATCAGAAGGGATTTGGACAGGTCTTCTAGTTCAGTCCCAAGTGCTGAGGCAGGACCAAATATACCTAAACAAATATACCTGGCAGGCATTTGCCTCATCTGTTCTTAAAAATCTCCAATGATGGGGATTCTACAACCTTTCTTGGTAGCCTACTAAAGAGCTTAACTATCCTTATAATTAGAAGGTATTCCCAATATATAACCTCAATCTCCCCTGCTGCAGATTAATTCCATTACTCCTTGTTCTACCTTCAATGAACGTGGACAACAAATTATCACTGTCCTTTTTATAATAGTACTAAACGTATCTAAAGAATAATTGGGTTCCTCTCCACCCACACCCCAGTCACCATCTTCAGATTAAACATGCCCTATTGTTTTAGTTTCTCCTCACAGGGCAGGTTTTTTAAATCTTTCATGTTTGTTACTTTCTTCTAGGAAAAATGCAGACAAGATGGAAAGATTCAGAACCAGACTCACACTCCAAATGAGGTCTCACCAAATCCCAACAGAATATGTCAATTAGTATCCATACCTTACATGACACTGATGTTAACACGTCTGATTGTAACCTTTATTTTAATTGCATTACACTGCTGACTCATTCAATTTGTGGTCCACTGTGACCCTTCTTCTAGGAAAAATGCAGACAAGATGGAAAGATTCAGAACCAGACTCACACTCCAAATGAGGTCTCACCAAATCCCAACAGAATATGTCAATTAGTATCCATACCTTACATGACACTGATGTTAACACGTCTGATTGTAACCTTTATTTTAATTGCATTACACTGCTGACTCATTCAATTTGTGGTCCACTGTGACCCTCAACAGTACTACATCCTAGCCAGTTATCTCTCATTTTTTACTTGCATGTTTCACTTTTCCTCCCTCAGTACAGGATGAATTTCCCTAGTCCAGCACCCTTGGGACCCGAGTGGTCTTGAACAAGAGAGTTTGCCACAGAGGTGGAGGTCAATAACAGCCCCTCTTTTGCTTCTTGCTGAGGGCTCCGCTCTGGCCACAGCGCAGCGGCTGGCACTGATGGAGGGGATATGGGGCACTTGGGAAAAGAAGCAACGTGGCCTCAGAGCCCCACAGTCAGGAGCACAGCCCTCCCAGGCTGTGCTCCCAGGCCCCAGCGGTAGGGCTGCCCTTCTGGCCCCCGGCTATGGGGCTTTGCAGTTGCTCTGCCTTGTTCTCTGACACCTCCCTACCCCTGTCATCATGCCTCCACCCTCCTTCTTTCCCTGAGCTTGAATACTGCAAACAATTGATGTCATGTCCCCTCAGTTTAAAAACTAATCATTCATAACTACTCTGAGTAGTGTTTCAATCACTTTTGCACCCTTCTTATAGTAACACTATTTAAACCACTCTACCCTAGTTTGCTCATGAGACTGTCAAAAAGCCTCAAAAAAATCAATACTACATTATATATACACACACGTCTTATCTATTAAGTCTACTGCTTCCTGTCCCCATCTACTAGCCAGTAACCTTGCCAAATAAGGAAATTAGGTTAGTGTGGCGTGATTTGTTCTTAATAAATCCATACTGGCTGGGTATTCTTATAATCCTATTGGTCTTTAGATAATTACACACTGATGTTTAATCACTTGTTTCAGTATCTTTCCAGATATCAAAGTTAAGATGACTGGTCTAGAGTTCCCTGGATCCTCTTTATTCCCCCTTTTAAAGGCCGATACTATGTTTATGGTTCTCCAGTCCTCTGGGACCTTACCCACCCTCCGTGAGTTCTCCAAGGCCACATGTATACATATACAGAAGGTCAAAGAGACACAATTCCAGCTACAATAACTGCTTAGCTGGAGACAACATACCTTAATTTGAACTCTGGCACGGTCTCCCAAGTGGGAGGTCAATGGGAGCAAATGCTCCCATCGACTTCCCTCACTCCTTGTCATGTCAACAAGGGGCACCCTTAACGTTTGATTTAGCAGGTCTTCACGACCACAGCATCGATCTTCCAGCAAGTGAAGATGTGGCCTAAGATAATGCCTAGTGAGGCTATTTCAGGTAGTTCCATTTTATGGTGAATTTTCTCAGGGTGTCCAATTTTCTAAATATTCTTTAATCTCTTCTTTTGCTATTTTGGCTTGCATTACTTCCCCGTTGTTGTTAATATTGTGTTAAGTATCTGGTCACAATTTAGCTTTTTGATATCATGCATTATCAACTCTCAATACTGCCGGTAATCACCTTTCCTCCTTCCCCACTATATGGAAGACCTACTCATACATTAGGAGCAAGAAGATGAAAGTATCTATAGAATCTCTTCTTATTGTTTTACTGCCCTTGCTTGATGACACTCATTTTGTGCCTTAGCCTTTCCAGTTTTGAACCTACAAGTTTATACTTTTCTTTTGTCCTCATTTTTAGCAAGCAACATATCCCATGTTTACACTTTTTGGTTTTCAGGTGTTTAGAGTTTCCGATGGAGCCGTACTAGCATCTTACTATTTTCCCCATCTTTCCTTTGCATCCAGATATTAGGCTGTTGGGCCTTGAACATTAAAACCAGGGTAAGAACAAAAACAACAGGGAACAGACCAAAAGAATGACCTGAAATTAAAAGTACTGAAGAAAAAGATAAAAATGTCTGGATTTTGAAGCACTTCTACACACGATTATAGGCATTACTTTATAACTCACATATACATTTTATTTCTAAAGCGCATTTCACACGACTCAGAAAATTGGTCAATTCCATTCACTCTTAAATATATCTATTCTGTAAAAAAGTATGGAAATGCAACCTTTCAGGATGATCAGTCATGTTTTTCATTTCCTTGCATCACACTACCCATACCCATAAAAGCATTTCAGTACTTAGCGACAAGACTCAAAATGATTAACATTTCCTGTTTGAGACTGACGAACATAAATAGAAGAAAATAATCACCTGCTGTGCATATCGTAAAGACTACTTGAACAGAGTCAAAGAAGAAGAACATGACTAGGAGAGAAACAGATGCTCCAATGGGAAGGAACAGTGCTTGGGTAGAATCGATGGTCTGGATACCTGCAGAAAAAAAGAACATAAGAGGCTTCATTTATAGAATTTCTCAGCAAACATAACATAGTATCTTATTTAGATCCTCTCCTGGTCTGTTTTGTAGTCCATTTCCCATACATAGCCAAGGACTCTATAGTGAATTCTGAGATACCTATTTACTTTCAAGGAAATATATTAGGGCCCAGCTAGAATACTGAATACAAAGCTAGTTTTTCAACTAAGACTTAACCACTCTTTGATTGGGAATGGGTAAGGCACAGCAGCAAATTTATCCTGCTCTGTGGAGCCCCAGGAGAGAGATGGGTGAGGAATAATGGCAGTCTGTGTTCAAGATGTAATTTGTGATTGCCAAGAAATGACAGCAGGTATAGCATGAACTGCAGAAGTTTAATTCCCAATCCCATCTCACATTTACTATACTATTTATCTTAGCCTAGACAAAAATTACACAAGCTCTACTCCCAGCCGCTCTCAACCTCTGCGGCTGGGATTCTCTGATCAAGCAACATCTGTGGTCTTGCCAGACCACAGATGTTGCCAGATAAGCGTCCTGGATGAAAGAGGTTCAATATTTAGCACTGTTTCTACAGCTACATGGTAATGTACAGAATAAAAAAATAATCAAATTTTCATAAGCATATACATCACTAAGATTATGTCTACGCTGCAACTTAAAACCTGTTGCTGGCCCTTGCCAACCGATTCAGGCTAAGTGGCTGCTGAACTGTGATGTAGAATTCGGGCACAAGCTGGAGCAGAGGCTCCCATGAAGTGGGGGGCCCCAGAACTCCGGCTGCAATCTGAGTGCAAATGTCTATACCTTAGCCCTAGCCCTGCAAACCCAAGTCAGTTGGCAAGGACCAGCTGTGGGTTTTTACTTGAAGTGCAGACCTATCCTAAAATAGCTTTAAAATATTACTCCAAATGAGTACATACTACAATACTATTTTGATATAAACTTGAACATAAATACTAAAGGTTTAAGACTGATCCATCCACTAAGATCATATGGTAATATATAAGTCAGGGATGGACAATCATGAAGGAGGTCTCATGAGTGGTACTCCTTTTCCTCAGTAGGCTGCAGCAGCCCACGGACCACTAGGTACCACCTGTGGCCTCTCTATCTGCCTCTCCCCCACACACCTCTTGCACACTGAAGCACCAGATCCCTGCACTTAACTGCTCCCGCCCCCCAATTTCGGAACGCACAAACTGCCTGATTTGTGCTCTCTCCCTGCTCCTCCCCCTCTGTCTCTCAGCTAGAATGCAGCAAACAGCTCTGGGAGGAAGGGGGACAAGCGGGGACCTCTAAAAGCACTGTAAGGGAGGCAGGAGGCATTCGAAGTGCAGGCCTCCAAATTGCCCACCACTAATATAGGTGAAAGGTTTGCTGGGATCTATTAAGCTTAACCATTACTAACTTTAAAAAATACAGAATTGTATAGGGACCCATATAAGAAATTTTAAAAACAGAAGTGATATGTTGAAATAGTTTGATGCTAGTGAAAAGATACATGGCAATATCCTGAATTAACTAGAGTCTAAGAATTAGACTTCTGGGACATGAGAGAATAAGAAATGCTGAAAATGGGCTTTGGTAAAACTAAAAACAATATTTCAGGGAGTCTCAAACTTTTTTGCTGGAACCCCCTTTGGAAAATAGTTTGGGCTTTAACAACCTTTTCCAACAAACTGACAAATTTCCCTCCTCTCCTAACTCATACTCTGCCGTGCTTACTTCTGCACTGCTGCTGAGAGAGGTGCTGCCTTCACAGCTGAGCTCCTGGCCTGCAAACCCTGCACTCCAGACACCAAGCTCCGAAGGCTTAGGTTGTCTGCTGGATTCCAGGCATTCCCATAAGAGCCTCACAAGCCCAAGTCTGAGAACTCCTAAAGCTCTCTGTCATGGCCTCATTCTGGTATTCTGAAGATGATAAAACAGGAATAGAAAGAGGCTGCCTGCCTAACTGTAACTTGGCATGTATGGTCTCTGCAATTCCAGCACCAATGACTTAGGAGCCTTCCTCAAAGCACTGCATGTTGGCACACAAAACAGTAAGCCTAGAAATAGTTCTCCTATAGGCAGATGAGGCAATCTTCGTGGAGTTCAATGTCATCATCTTGAAAGGCAGGACACACCACTTTAAGCCAAACTTCTTATCCTGAGCAACAACTGTGTGTAAGGTAAAGCAATTCAAATTCCAAATCAGAATAAAAGCTTCACAACAGGACACAAACAGGACACTACAACACTCCTAAAACATTAAAATGACAAAAAAAGTGTTGGATGAAAAACTAAACTAAGTTGTACGTGCAAGAGCAAAGGCTACTTATGGGGAAAAAATGGGAGGCAGCTGGAGATGTAACCAACCCAGATATTTTATAAGTTCAGCTCCACCAGTGGTACCTGTGTCCCAAACAAACACAGCTTTCTAGAATGTTCCCACCAGAGATATTCGTTTATCTTAAGCGTGTAATGCACACTTCTGAACAGAATGCTTCAAGAAGTTAATGGGGAAGGGGAGGCATGGGGGTGTAGTGTTGTGAACTTGATCGTATACTTAAGTTCTCTCTAATGTGAAATAAGTTCAGCTCCACCAGTGGTACCTGTGTCCCAAACAAACACAGCTTTCTAGAATGTTCCCACCAGAGATATTCGTTTATCTTAAGCGTGTAATGCACACTTCTGAACAGAATGCTTCAAGAAGTTAATGGGGAAGGGGAGGCATGGGGGTGTAGTGTTGTGAACTTGATCGTATACTTAAGTTCTCTCTAATGTGAAAGGCCACCTGGCTCAGAGCGCTGCCTCTGCCCGCCAGCCACAGTACTGAGTTAACACAGCCCAAACAAAAGCAGCTCCCCCCGCTGGTCCCAGGACGGATGTCAGAGCTGGGGATATGGAAAGGGCGCCTCCCCTGTCTCCCCCTCTCTGCCATGCCAGTTCTGGCAGCTCCCTGCTGGGGCTAGCAGGATGGGATGCGTCTCCCCACAGGACACACCTCATCTCCTCTGCTCCCTCCCCCCTTTGATGGGCTGTGCACCTGGGTGCTCCTAAGTCCCTGTAACTAAGCCTTCCCCAGAGCTAAGCTGTGTCTGTTACTCTGCTGGGACATTGTTACCCCAACTCAGTGCCTTTGCTAGGGAACATCACAGCCAGAACTTGGTCTCTTTGCCGAGACTGCTGGCAAATGGAACCAAAGGTGGTAGTGGAGACTTTAAACACATGATCTTTAGGAACTAGGGTCGCCAGATGGTTTAACCAAAAATACTGAACCCTCGCCCCTACACCCTCCCAAAAAAATACCGAGGGAAAAAAAATTCTGTTTAAAAAAAGGGGGAGACCAAATTTGTTGAGGGGGAGAAAAAAAAAAGGACCCGACAGTTAAGCAAAAGAAATAAATAAATAAAACCCATCATGGCCCTTGAAGAAAGGTCTTTCAGGCTTTTTGCCAGCAACCATCTTGTTTTTCTCCTCCAAGCCAGAATACAGCTTCCCTTCGGAACCAGGTAAGGGGGCGGGGGGAAGGCCAGAAGGAGTCTGGAAGGGGGAGGAAGGGAGGGACAGGGCCCAGTTGCTGAGTGTATGTAGGGTTGCCAGGTGTCCGGTACTTTCTGAATTCTTTTTACTGGACAGGAAGCAAAAATACCAGACTGTTTGGGTCAATACCGGACACCTGGTAACCCTAACCCCAATACAGACCCATACACAAAACCCTCACTGTAACACAATACGGACCATCACCCAAAGAAGAGCTATCCTAAATAAAGGCAACACATTTTTGTTGAAAAACTGGCCTTCAATGCAATATTGAGAAAACAGAAGATAATGGGTGCAGTCTAATGTTATAGCTGTGTCCTCAAAATAGTTACAAACATCATTATGTGTAGAATTAGGTAGAAATACAAACTTTTGAAAGTGAGGTTTTAAAGATCACTTACATTTTGGAAGTTACTTTTGAATAGGTTATTCATTCATATATATTGGTATAGCTAGTCAAGATTTCCATGCCAATATGGAATTAAGTCAATTGAAAACTTAAACCAACAACTTAGTTTTCAATCACCAATATTTCAATGTCCTTACCAAAAAAGCAAGTGAAACTAAGGCCTACCAATAATATCCATATCAGCCATGTCATTCACATTACACATTACTCTTTACTGTAAACCACAAAAATTTGTAATTTCAAAACAGCTGGCATAGTCAAAGAGACAAAATTAAGAATCCAGTTGCTCTTAATCTTGAGTTACCTTAGAATAGATTACAGGCAGTCCCTGGGTTACGTACAAGATAGGGACTGTAGGTTTGTTCTTAAGTTGAATCTGTATGTAAGTCGGAACTGGCGTCCAGATTCAGCCGCTGCTGAAACTGATCAGTTTCAACAGTGGCTGAATCTGGACGACAGATTCAACTTAAGAACCCCAGGTGTCCCCAAGTCAGCTGCTGCTGAAACTGATCAGCAGCT